TCCCTTCCTTCCTTTCACATCTCAGATATTTTCTTTTGTTCAGGAAGGGGTGGGAGGCAGGTATGAACAAATACTACTTTTTCCAGCACATGGGTGGTGAGTACCAGCCTCCTTCCTTCCCCAGCCCAGTAGACGCCATGCCCCCTGGACTGCTCACCCCACCGTCGTTAGCACTGGGCTCACACGCCTTCTCCCTGGATGAAATGTTTTTCTTCCTCTAAAAAGGCACTTTTCCTTAGTTGGCGTCAATGAACCTGAGTCCTAGTTGTTTCCCTCTGGTGTTTGCAAGGCTGTCTCTGGTCTGATGATGACTTTGACTTCTCTGACTTTGCCTAGAAACCTGGGAAAAACGTGGCTGCCATCATCCAGGACATCCATTCCCAAAGAGAGAGGGACATGTTCCGGGAGACAGACAGGTGAGGCCTTGGCCCTAGGTCTCAGGGGGAGATGCTGGGCAGTTGGAAGATTCTCCTGTTACTCATTCTAAGGTGTGTTTGCGTCATGCCACGCCCTGCCCTTGCTCCTGCCTTGACCATCAACCTTCCTGGGCCCTACCTTTCCATCAGAACGCACCAGTCCAGTCCAGAAGTGCTGCTCAGGTTAAACCTCAGGAAAATGCAATATGCTAAGCTTTCTTTCAGCTGTTCTTTCTTTGTTGGAAAGAAATATGGTGGGCGGGGGCGGGGGCGGGGGGTGTTCTGTTGATACTGGGCTCTTAGGGGCAAGTCTATACTGTTAAATCAGCCTGAAAGTGGTGTGTGTGTGTATTCTATTTAGAGCCAGATCTTGATTTTTTTTATGAGCTAAATGTAGATGTAGGAACAGAAATAGAGATGCTCCAAAAAAAAAAAAAAGGCAGTGACTTGACCAGTCACTTACTCGGAACATTTTCCAACTCATTTCTTCCAACCGAAGCTGGGACCGTGCCAAACTGTGGCTGCACGTTTACCACTGCCACTGCCCTACGAAGACAGTCTCTGTGGAGAGCCAAGGTGGAAAACAGAGAGAGTGGGCACCTGGCAGGCACATCCTGTGGTTCTTACCCAGGGCTGCCACAGACGGCGCTCCAACCTCACTGTAGAGGCCTGTGCCCTGGCTGTTTCCCCAGTGATGGTCAAGGTAGCCTGGTCCTAGGGAGCCAAATCTTGGGGTCCCCTGGTCAGTGAGGGCTGCATGGTTTTGCTGTATTTGGGAACCATATGAAAATTGCCTATCCTTTTAAAATATCGGGGATGTGACTCAGTTTATCTGCTAAACAATCGAACGACTTTCAGAGTGTGTGTATATGAGCGTGTGTATGTGCGTATCTATCTTTGTATGTAGCTGTTCCGGTTTGAGAGTTTTGTGTCTTTGTCTGGAATTTATTTTTAACCACGGTTATTTGGGTTTTCCTAAGACATGTGTAAAGCTGCATGGTGCCCCTGCAGTTCTGTGACAGGGGTTGGGGGTCGGGTGACCAGGAGATCTTGCTTAGAACCTTGGGCAAGTCAGGGTCTTTTTCTGGGTTTCAGTTTCTTCATCTGAGAAACTGGCAGGTCAGTGCCCTAAGGCAGCAGTCCCCAACCTTTTTGGCACCAGGGACCGATGCTTCTATGAGAATCTAATGCCTGATGATCTGAGGTGGAGCTGAGGGGGTGATGCTAGCGCTGGGGAGCGGCTGCAAATACAGATGAAGCTTTGCTGGCTCTCCGGCCCCTCGCCTTCTGCTTCTGCTGTGCAGCCTGGTTCCTAACAGGCCATGGACCGGTACCAGCCTGCAGCCTGGGAGTTGGGAACCCTTGCTCTAAGGTCTCTCCTAATCCAAAAATGCCTTTGTAGTTAGTTCTTTGTTTTTGGTATTTCTGAGCCTGTCCTTTTCCTTCTCACCACCTAGTAATTAGCCTCCCTCTTCCATGCCCAGGATCTGAACAAGCTGAGATGAGAAAAAAGAAAGCAGAGGTCCAGAGATTGTTTTATGCTATGGAGAGATGGGAGGGATGCTTCAGTCTTGTAGCCAGGAAGCGGGCTCATTGAACCTGAGGGTTAGGCAGCCTCGCCCACCAGCCTAGACCAAGGCGACCTCACCCCCACCCCCACCCCGCACACTCCCAGGAGGAGAGTCCGCTGCTCCCTAAGCGAGCTCACTTCCAAGAGGAAGGAAGATGGGGCTGAGCCACACCAGCCGGTTATTCATCCCTGTTCCAGAGGAGGATGAGTAAAGGGGCAGACGGCGGCCAGGGCTGTGCTTAGGGACAACCCCGGCCCCTGGAAGCCAGGTGGGGAGACAGCGTCCTCCTGGGCCGCTCTCTGTGCGGCCTGTACGATTGTGGTGAAGAGCATCTGGTCAGATGGGGTTACATGCACAGTATCTGGGGGTGTCTGGGTGTCGGGCTGGGGAGGTGCAGATTCTGAAACCTGCTCCTTTGTTCCCGCACAGATATGGCTCTGAAAGGCCACGGTCTCGCAGTCCAGTGAGCCGGTCACTGTCCCCAAGGTCCCACACTCCGAGCTTCACCTCCTGCAGCTCTTCCCACAGCCCTCTAGGCCCCTCGAGGGCTGACTGGGGCAATGGCCGGGACTCCTGGGAACACTCTCCCTACGCCAGGAGGGAGGAAGAGCGAGACCCAGGCCCCTGGAGGGAGAACGGGGAGGACAAGAGGGACAGGACAGACACGTGGACACATGATCGCAAACACTACCCCCGGCAACTCGAAAAAGCCGAATTAGACGAGCGACTTGAAGGAGGGAGAGGCCACCGAGAAAAGCACCTGAGGTCTGGGTCCCCCAACCCACTCCACTCTGCATCAGGCTACAAAAGCCGAGAGGATGGCTACTACCGTAAAGAGCCCAAAGGCAAACCGGACAAGTATCTAAAGCAGCAGCAGGATGCCCCCGGGAGGTCCAGGAGGAAGGAGGAGGCCAGGCTGCGGGAAAGCAGACACCCCCACCTGGACGACGCAGGCAAGGAAGACGGGTTGGAGCCAAAGGTCACCAGAGCCCCCGAGAGCACCAAGTCGAAGCAGAGTGAGAAAAACAGAACCAAGAGACCTGACAGAGACCAAGAAGGAGCTGATGATAGAAAAGAAAGCAGAATGGCAGAGAACGAGGTAACGATGTAATATCCTCCCTAGGTAAGGAGAGGCAGGTCCCAAAGGATAAAAACGTTAATGTAATGACGATGAACATTTATTGAATGAATGAAACACTTATTGAATATTTACTCTGTGCCAAGCACAGTGCTAAATACTGTATCTCAATCAAGTCGTTTAATCCTCACAGCAACCCTGTAAGGTAATAACAGTCATGATATTATTACTATAGATGAGGAAACAGAAACACAGAGAGCTTAAGTTAGTTGCCCAAGGAGACAGAGCCAGGAAATAGCAGAGCCAGAATTACACCTGCCTAGGTGATCTGGCTCCAAATGCCATAGCACCCTGCTGCCTTTATTAGAAGTTAGGGAGGGACATGATGCAGAGGCCTTCTGTAGTCCTGTTTGTCCAGGGTGGAGTGGCCCCAAGGCGTTTGCACCAACAGACGCTGCCAAGGGAGATTAGATCTTTGGTCTGCTCAGTCCTCTCTCCTGCCAAAAACATCTACCAATCCCAGGATGTCAATGGGAGGCAGTAAAGGAGAAGCAGCTGTCACCCACTAAATTATACTGGGTGTCCAGGGCTTGATTTGTTTCTCTAGACACTGTCCACAATGTTTTACTTCTCTTGTAATAAAAATGCTCCGCAGTTGGCTGGCATCTTTCATTCAAGCACCTGAAAGGGCTTATAACTTGCTACGTGACTTCAGTTCATGCATTGGTCCCCAGGACTCTGTGTATGAGGTTTATATTTTCACTTGGCTTATACTTCTTTCCTGCCAGAACCACCTACATTTCAGTAGGAGTGGAATAATGGAGGTTAGGGGTTCTGCATAAAGAACTCAGTTTTTAAAATCCTGAATGCATATCTTCTAGTCTGACCCAGGAGTTGGTGACAATACTAAGTCCAAATAGGGAGCCCTATTCTCTAGTTCATGAATACTGAAGAGTCTCACTTTTGGCCACTACCTTAACATGCCACTTTGCTGGGTAGTGTGCAAGGCATAGAGGGTCCAACGGTGAATGAGACATAGTCTGTGTTATGGCAGAGACCAAGGTCTAATGGTGGAAGCAGATGTACAAAAACCATGTGCATACAGTGGGGCCCATGCTGGAGTAGGGTAGTGGCTGAGCTGCTCAGTGGTCCCTAACTGCACAGGGAGAGGAGGAAAGCTGCACAGAGGAGGAGACGTTTGAGCTGGGCATTGAAACTGGGGTAAGTTTGAGAAGTAGCAAAGGCAAAGTGAGAAAGAAAGACCATTTTGAAGAACCTGGAGCTAACTCAACATGACTATTTTTAGGGCATGTTAAAGGACCCTGTTTTTAAAAAGTAAAATCTTGGCTCTCGTGCAAACATAAAATGAATACATGTCAAAGATGCTATTTAACTCAATGAATGAGGGAACCAATAAGATCTAAAAGCCAGTTCAAAGGAGAATCTAAATACCAGGCAACATGCAGAAGAGATCAGGAATGTGGACATGAATTTGCTAATAGAGGCAAAACTGGCCTCTTCCATAGGGAACCCAGAACCAATTGCATCTCTACCAGATAAAATTCCTTTCATCTCTATGGACAAGAATCATTTGCATGACTATCAGTCATGTGCAATTTACAGAGTGATAAAGTAGCTCAGTTCAAGATAAAGTGCAGACTCCTGTAAAACCAGATACCCTTATACTGGACAATTACCCAGCATTCCACAGAAATCTAGTAATCTTTTTTTGCCCATCTCAAGTCTGCCACAATTTGTCCTGACTGGCCCAGCAGAGGGAAGCTCAGGAAATGAGATTAGGAAGTTGGGATGGGAGAAATAAAGGACCTTGTGTACATCCCTGAGGACTTGACATCCCAGGACCTGTGAACCGGTGGGTGTTTTTAAGAAGTGTGTGTAGTCTACCTCAGTATCCCTGGAGATTGGTTCCAGGACTGCCCACAGATAACAAAATCCACAGATGCTCTAGTCCCTGGGATAAAACAGTGTGGTATTTGCATGTAACCTACACACATCCTCCCAGATACTTTAAATCATCTCTAGATTATTGATAATACCTAATACAATGTAAATGCCATATAAATAGATGTTATACTGTATAGGGAATAATGACAAGAAACGAAAGTCTGTACATGTTCAGTACAGATGCAACCATCATAGGTTGGAGATCTGCAGGAGAGGCATCTGAACAAGTTGGCCTAGCTACATAGCACTTGTTAGCAACAATGTAACTTTTGTTTCTGAGAATTTCTGTCTGCGGATGGCTGAATGAATCTGCAGTCGGGAGAACCTGAGGGTACAGAGAACTGACTCTGTATGCTTGAAAGTGTCCGAGGTGCTGGTGACATGTCAGTGACTCAAGAATAGGTACAGAGGGGCAGAGAGCAAGGGCAAGGCTCAAGCCTGGAAACCTCTGTCCCCATAGCAGAGGGTGGGGCCACCCCTTCACACTCCTACTCACTTTTCTGAGACTTATTTGGTAATCTTATTTCTGCTGTTTACCTACCCTTTGTCGGTTTACAAACCCTTGCCCATTTAAGGTGACACATACTTTAGGTCACCCCAAGGGTGCCTGATGCAAAAAGAGATTCCCAGAAAGCCCTGTGGGTTTCCCCAGAGTTCTGTCCCTCTAGTTGGTGCTACCTCTAATGGCCCTAAAATGGGGTCAAGTAGACCCCTGTTGAGGTCTTCAGCAGATTGTTTCCATGGGTTTGAAGCCAGGCAGCTCCCCACTGTTCAGTGGAACAGCAGTAAAACAAACTCTATCATGATCTCAAGAACATCTCTGATTCCCACAGGGCTGCCCAGGCCTGACAGCAGTCAGGGACAGGACCGGGGAATGAAGGCGACAGGGCTGAGGATGGTGTCCTTGCCTCTCTTCTAATAGGCCAGGCACCTGCCGCCACAGGGCCCTGCCTAGCAACCACTCCCCCCCACCCCCGCCACCCCCCTGCAAGTCCACATGGGTCTCTTCTCATTTCTTTCGTCTCTGCTCATTGTCACATTCTCCACCGGTTTGTCCTGGCCACTGCATACAATCACAGTGTTCCACTTCTGATCCTTCCCTGCTTTCCCTTTCTTGGAAGTGCCGATCTCCTTCTGCTGTGCTCACTGCTGTCCCTAGTCCCGAGGTTAGAGCAGGCATTCAACCCGTGCGTGCTGAAGGAATGGGTGACTGAACCCAGACTCTGGAGGCAAAGGCCTGGCTTCTGAGAACCGGGTTGTGCCCTGTTCCCCTCTCCCTCAGTTTGCTTAGTTGTGGAGTGGGTGTGGTCCCAAGACGGCCCTAGGACTTCAATGAGCTTGTGCTCATTCGAAACCCTCTGGAGAAAGAGCCCGTGCTGCAGAAGCTGGTGCGAGAGCTGCTCCGTGTTTGTGTGCGGCCTGGTCCACCCCCGACCCTGACCACGAGACCGTAGGAAGGAGGGAAGAAATCAAGTCACTGCCCAGGGAGAACGTGGGAAAGAAGTACTTCTCTACCTTACTGGAAGGGAGTTCGAGGGTTACAGAGCCACATGCCCAGAGAAGGAAAGGCAGGCAGGTGACACCAATCCAGATCATATGACAGAAACCATGTGGAGAGACGGAACCATGGTAGACCTAAGAGGAAGCTCCTATCTTTTGGGGACAGTCGTCCACGGCTCAGCTTCATTCTGTGGCTGCCCTGGGCTGTCTGATCTGTTTCTTAGACCAGACCAAAGTTTAGATAGCTGTATGAAATTTCTTACTTTTTAGAAACTGTATAGCTCGAAGCATGTCTTTGGGCCAGTTGGAGCCCAGGGGTCCCAGAATGCAGTCCCCAGTATAAGCAATTCATAGGAGGGAGGAATAGAAAAACCACTTATGCTCAGTTCAGAGCCCAGACACGCAGGCACGCCAAGAGGCAGGTGCGAGCTTGCTACTCACTCTACCCTCTCCTGCAGATCTCCGTTCTTTTACTGACCAGTATCCACGGAGCGCCCAATACCGGGGCTCAGTTTTGAGTGAAGCTGAAATGACCCCTGATCTCATAGAGCTCATAGTCTAGTGGAAGGACATACTAATCCAATAATTCCTCAAATGAATAGGAGGGCTGAGTGTTCAGTGCCAAGAAGGAGATGGAGGCATAAGTGCCATCAGTGCTGTAATGAATCAGAGTCTTCCCTGGGTTAGGATGTGACTGTTGAGATTGAAGGAATGCTGAATATTTACTGGGTGAAAAGGAAGGAGCACAGGAAGCAGGAACGGCACGTGCAAAGGCCCAGTGGCTGGAGGCCAGTGTTGCTGGAGCCGAGAGAGCCAGGGTTAGGATGGTGGGCAGCAAGATCCATTTGTCAACAGGGACCACATCACGCAGGGCCTTGGAGGCAGGTTAAGAATTTTTGTTTATCCTAATATTAAGGGTAAGCAAATGAAATGTTTAAGCAAGAAGATGCAGTGAGGTTACGATGATATTTGCATTTTGGAGTGATCATTTTTGATTGCCTTGAGGAGAATAGACTTTGGAGGAGGCTACACAGCAGAAGGGGGAGACCAGATAGAAGGTGGTTTAGTGGTGGCCCCAGCCCTGTGGTGAGAGAACCCGGCCTGCAACAGTTGGGATCTAGTGTCTTGACCCACGAGCTGGTGTGGGCAGTGGGTGTTGGTGGCATTTATCTGTTCCTCTTAAGCTGTCACTCTCACCTGGAATTGATCCCAGGGCCAGGAGTGCACTGAAAGGTGCTGCTCTCTTTCCTGCGCCTGGTGGGGGTGCTTCTGGCACAGCCAGGCTGTCCCTGCCTCTCCCAGCTGGAACTGAAGGGGCCTCTTTACTGTATTGACCTAGGAGCGTGGCTGTAGGGACTGCCTGGGAAGGGTAGGGATTATTTATTTTGACAAGGGAGGGCCATGGATGATTTATTCAGGGAGATAAAAATAAAGAAAAGTGGTCCTCTGTTGGTAGAAGCTATGGCTTCTGATGGCTAAAAAGGCATTTGGAGATGCTTTGCACTTGGGTTAGCGTGGAAGGCTTGAGCAGGGATTTTGATGGAATCTTCTCCAAACACTGGAAAGGCTCAGGATTTGAGGGTTTGAACTGTCTTCCCCTGCAGGTAATAACTGGTTAAACCAGTCAGCCCTGAACTCCTGCCCCACCTGGCTCCTCTCAGCTCAAGAGGGGTGTGTTTGCTCCTAAGAAATCAGAAGTAGAGTCATTAACTTTGAGCCAGCCCCAGCCAAAGTGTCCGGAAAATGCAACTTGCCCCGAGGAACCCCAGGAATAGTCATTGATCGGGTGGCCAAAGTCATGGGAGAATAACCTCCAAAAACTTCTAAAACGGGTGTTGGCCAACTTTTTCTACAAAGCACCAGATAGTAAGTGTTTTCGTCTATACAGGCCAAGAGGCATAATTGAGGATATTACATAGGTACTTATATAATCATTTCAAATACAAGTCTTTAAAGATATGAAAAGCAGGGTTAGTTCACAGACTGTACAAAAAGAGTCCCTAGGTCCCATTTGGCTTGAGGACTGCAGTTTGCTGATGACCCCTGTTTTAAAGGCTGGACAGAGATCCAATTCTCAAACCAGACATTCGTTTTCAATGGTTCAATTTCCCAGATGTGAGCGCTATCGTGAGGGACTTAAATTGAGGGAGGGATTAGGAAGAAGGAAGAAGGGAAGGGAAGGCTAGTTCGGGTTGTAGCTCTCTGCCAGAGATGGGTCAAAAGAGAGGTGAGAGGGCCACTGATGGGGCGACAACCCTCTTCATACCCGTAAGTAGCCCAGATGTGATTTTTTTAATGACCAAGAATAGATGTGTTGGGGAGATGTCACCATAATGGTTGTTAACCCCAGGGTTCGTTCACCGTCGGCCCCTTTACTTATCCTCACTGTCTATAGATTTCATAGCCGCAAAAAGGGCCCAGTTTGTGAGGCGTTTCTGGCCTCCTAAAGGCATCAGGCCAGCCATTAAAACACTTTCGGGCTTTCATTTGTCTGTGTGACCTGGAACAAGTTATTTAACCTCTCTGAGCCTCAGTTTCCTCATCTGTAAAATGAAGACGATAATAGCACATGCCTCCGAGAGGCTTTATGAGGGTAAAGGAAATATATGTGCAACACATCCAACAGCTCTTAGCCGTGCTCAATACCATTCATTTTCTCTTGACTCCCTCTTTTCTCTGCCACTGCTGACTGCTGATTTGGCTTGTTCTCTTCTTTTTTGGGTAAGGCTGGGAAAGAAGGCATGGAAGGAAGTCCCCCATCAGTGGGCAGGCAGGAGAAAGAAGACGAGTCCTCTGATCCAGAAAACACAAGGACAAAGAAGGTAAAGTGTGTCTCAGAGGCCGGCAGGGTAGCCATGTCTGCACAACAGCCTTTGGGCGCCTAGTCTGCCCAGTGATGCCTGCCGCATGGGACGTGTCCCAGACCCCACCAGTGGCTCCATGAATGAAGCTGTCTTCCCAGCACTTCCTGGCAGAATGACTGTCCGCACAGCCCTTCTGGGGAGATCCTCGACCACATGCCTTGACTCTGTCGTACTCTCCAGAAACTTGGCTGTGCTCGTAAGAGAAATCATGTCCCCGAAAAAAGACTTGAGCTTCGGAGCCAGGCTCCCAAAATAGGAAGGTCCCGTGGGAGAGGCTGGGATGGGAGGGAGGGCTTTGAGTACTCCATCTAGGGCCCTGACCTCAGCAGGCCCAGACCCTGGGATTAATGAGACATCGCCTGTGCTCGTAAAGATTATTTTACATAATTAAAATGAAAAACCCAGTTACAGTGCTACGGCTGCCGCGGCCAAAAGAAATGTCCTTGGAACATGGCCTGCTTCATGCCTTACCGGTCAGGAGAGGCAGAAAGATGAGTATCACTGTCAGGGAAGCTGATCTCCTAAATCTGGCTGCTGGGTCCGTAGGCTACTGGGGACACGAGTTTCAGGAGGGGCCCACTGTGAGCCAGGCTATGGAAGTCGCACCCTTGCTGGGAGATGGTGCTTGGAGGAATTTTATGGGGGACTTTGCCATAGTTACATTTAGTGATGCCCCTATGTGCAAGGAAATAGCTCCGGCAAGCTGATTTATTTAGAGTTTATAACTTAATCATCCATTTGTTCATTTAAAAATTATTTATTGAGCACCTATGATGTACCAGGGGTTGAAATTCTTTGTGCCACTTTAAACGTAGTAGATTAAGCACTAAAGGCTTATTCCAAACCCTGTGCTGTTTTGAGCCTTGTCCTAGGGATGAATCAGTGACGTGGGACTTGAGCAGTTTACAGCTTCTAATTACCCAGTAAGTGTTCCCAGGTAGAAGTAAGGACATCAGGATCTTTCTGGTTTGAGAGGTCCTGTGGCTAAAGCTTGTGCCCTCCACTTGAAGACCAAGACCACTCCTCAGCCACCTTCTGACCCCCATTCTACATTTTTATTCAGGATCAGGACTGGGACAGTGGCAGTGAAGCAGAGGGAGAGAGCTGGTACCCCACGAACATGGAGGAACTGGTTACAGTAGACGAGGTGGGGGAGGAAGAAGATTTTATCATGGAGCCCGACATCCCGGAGCTGGAAGAGATCGTGCCCATTGACCAGGACAAAGTCTGCCCAGAAATACGACCCTATGTGACAACCGACTTACACCTGGACTTAGCCAAGGATTTCACCAAGGAAGGAGCCAAAACCATAGGTAACGGGGCTGCAGAAATCAGCCTCACGTCGCCCAAAGAAGTACCTTCTGCTTCCACGAGCTGTCCCAGTGACACGGACGTGGAAATGCCTGGCCTAATTCTGGAGGCTGAGCAGAAGCCAGCTGAATTCGAGACAGGCCTCTTGCTGGAGGGTTCAGATTGCTACGAGAAGCAGGCAAAGGGAGCAGAGAGCTCAGATGTTCGTCTGTCCCCTGCACTCCAGCAAATGTCTTCCCCCAAGCCAGCGGAGGAGAGGGCCCAGCAGCCTAGTCCATTTCTTGACGATGACAAAGCCAGGGGGACCTCCGACGATGGGGCTCGTGAAGGCAGCCCCCTGGAAGAGAAAGCCAGCTCCCCCACTGAAGCCAGCCTCCAAAGCCAGGCTTGCCAAGGAGTGTCAACCCAGGGTAACTACCTCCCTTTTCTCCCGTGTGGCTGGGTCGATGGGACCATCGTTCACTTCGAGAAAGAGGGAGGAGGGCGTGTGCAGGCTGGAATGAACACATGTGAGGTTTCAACCGGCGTTCAGGCTGGTGCAGAAAGCAAGCTTCTAAAAGCCTGGCTAAACTCTTAGAGCTTTTAGGCAGATGATGTAAAGGAAATCAGATAGGAGGCCACACATTTTCTGAGAAGCAAACTCAGATAGGACAGACTTCTCTGAATTTACAGGAGCCCAGATGGACTCTGACAACTAAAATCAGCAAAGGTTTTGAGTTATCAGCCAAAGTTCCCCCGGGGGGCAGCAAGCAGCCTCTGCTTGCACGACAGAGGACCACCCAGGCCATTATTTCTGTGTGGCCTGAGTGAGGGGCTGAGAGCATGGGAGGCTGAGAAAGGAGCAGGCAGAGGGAAGAATGAGGGGTTCACTAAGGGATACAGCCCGTTCCCCTCTTACTGCCCGAGACCCACTTTTCTCCAGAGCCTGACAATAAAACGAGCTTGTCCTGGACTCTCCTCTGCCTCCATGGAAGGTGGTGGTTTGTGTGTGCTCTGCACTATGACATCATGAAAGACAGGGTTTAAAATAGGCTAAGCCCTGTCTCCTCTGCCAAGTGGAAACTAAGATCCAACAAGTGCGCCGGGAGCAGGGAGGGGGAGTAGCCCTGGGTGTTCGTTCTGTGAAAATAACTAAAGATTCATTTCGCAGAAGGCCTGCAGCATTCCAGAGGCTAAAGTAAGGGGGCCAAGGGTCAGGGGCAGACACTATAGAGGAAAAGCTTCAAAATAAACATTTCGACCCAGTGCTCTGTGGCTGGCACAAGCTGTTAGGCGAGCTGGAGGCTTGGGCTCTCCTCCATGTCAGGCTGACCTGAGCTGTTTTGCACCTTCGTGAATCTGTGTCTCCATGGAAACTCTGTCATGAGCTGCCTTCCTGTTGCTAGAGAAACGCTGAGGCCTAGGCTGTGGCTAGAGAAGGCAAGAATAAAGGAGAAAAACATTCACCTTGCTCTGGGGAACCCCTTTTCTTCTGCGATATCGGTCTCAGCATGCACTGGTGTTCGTGGCTCATTAGCGTACCCAGTGTTTGGTGTTCATCTTTAATAACACACCTCGACAAGCTTGGTGTGAGAACGACATGGTCTTTCTTGCCAGCCTGTGGACGTCAGCACAATTTCTGCCCTTTGGTAATGCTTCTTTTTTTGGCGAGGGGTGGGGGGTGGTTGTGGGGCTGGATCATCCCAAGCAAAGGCATCAGCAGCCCATCCCCCATGGGCCTGATGCAAAGATTTGCCAAGTTTTCTTAAGTGTGCATTCTTCTGACACTGGGAAAAGCTGTTAATTATAGCACTTGGGTCCTAATGAGCAGTCCTCACCCTGGCCCCATGTTATTAAGCAGTGCAAGGGATCAGTCCCGATCACACAGTGCAAGGAATAGAATCGCAGGAATTCTTGGAGGCATGTTGTGTTTCATTTCTTTTTTTTTTTTTTTTTTGCATTGACTCAACATTTTGCAGAAAACTCCAGGTACATGGAAATGAAATCTCTGGACGTGAGGTCACCGGAATACACTGAAGTGGAGCTGAAACAACCCCTTTCTTTGCCTTCCTGGGAACCAGAGGATGTGTTCAGTGAACTTAGCATTCCTCTAGGTGGGTGAACTACACAGGCCTCCCTGAGAATGCAGCTCCAGGAGATGATGGTTTCCTAGTAACCTCTAAGAGCTTGAGAGGGCTTTTTGTCACTTCGTTTTTCATGCTTGATGCAATAACTCAGATTTGCAAGGTGCTACTTTAACATCTCTTGCAATTTCAGTCTCCCGTGGTAGAGCAGATGGATACTTCATGCCGCCAGGCCAGGCCTTGAACAGCCCCTCCCTGGGAGCCAGAGCTTAGAGAGACCATTTTCTCTGTGGGGGGATGCTTTATTCCCAAACAGGCTTTGGGAGTGGGAGTTGCTGTCAACTCACAGGGCCAAGGGAAGGCAACCCAGCCAGAGGCAGAATGGAGATCAGTAACCTGTCCAGGGAAGCAGCTGGCCGAGAGTGGGGGTGGTGCTGAGAGTCGGGGTGGCTCAGAATGGGGAGGGATGGGTTGGGGGTTCCTGAGCCTTCAGTTTCCTCACTTATAATCTGAAATTGGAGCAGGTCAGTGGCTTTTCAATGGTGGAAGTGTTGGAGGCAGAGGGAGGGAAGTTAATAATAAAATCACCTAGGACACACTTTCAAAGAGGAGAGTTAGCTAGATAGAGCCTCAGGGTAGGGAGTGAAGGCACTTTAAGAAAGTTGCTTGGGAGCTTCAGACACCATCTCTAACCCAGTGCCTCTTACTGCAGCCCATTCCTGTCTTTGCATTGACTTTGAAAGGTTGGAAAGCAGTGAGACAAAGAAGTAGCAGCCACTCTGAGGGAGAGCTTGGGAAGGCACCACAAGGAAGCAGGATAAGCGTGGGTCGTGTGATGTGATGGCCGGTGACCACGTGTCTGCTCAGCCAGGGAGGGCCATCTATGTGGAGGCTTGCCCATTTCATCAAGTTTTTCTGTTTATCTCTTTTTAAAACTTTTTTATTTATTTATTTTTTTTTACTGTTTCTGTCTTCCAAGTGTACTGTTTTCCTAGAGTCAGATTGAAAAGCAATCTTTTTTTTTTTTTTTAAGGGATAAGTTTGATGCATAGCCTCCCATGTACTAGAGGAAAAAAATACTGACCTTAGAATGAACTTCGATGACTGTGTGAAGGCAAAGGCTGCCTTCCAGCGGTGCCAGCTGGTCCCCTCATGCATTCTTCATGCATTCGTTCAGTCAGAAACACTTCTCGGGTACCTGGCACTGTGAGAGGCACTTGGGGATAACATCCAAGGACTTGGACTCTAATTGACACACATGGCAAAAATTAATAGCAAATTCTATTACCTTATAATTTGTCTTTTTATTATTGTTTTTCATTGTAAAAAGCGTGAAAGATTATTGTGACAAATTTAAAAAATAAGAACCATCTAAAAGTAAATATTGTCATATCTCTTCCCCCCAACCTCTCTCCAGCTTCAGAGGTAGTGACTGTCATATCCTTGAAAAGTTTTTCTCCCACAAAAATAGGTTCACACTATATACATAATGTCCTGCAATTTGCTTTTTTAACTTAACAGTGGATCTCAGAGATTTCTTCAGTACACAGAATATGCATTCTTTTTAACCACTGCAAACATTCCATCTTGAAGGATGTACTATAACTTACTGAATCATTCTCCTGATGAACATTTAGGATGTTTTTAATCTGTTTTCCCTTCATGAAAATGCGATAATAGCTAAGCCTTTATTTTTATCATTCTCCATGCAGGCACTGTTCCTAGTATTTTGCATGTATTATCTCATTTAGCTCTCTCAAAACACTTATGAGGGAGGTACCATTTTTATTTTACAGATAAGAAATCTGAGATCCGGGCTCTCAAAGCTAAAAGATCAGCGAAGATTGGAGTCAGGATCTAAACCCCAGTAGTTTGGCCGTAGAAGCAAGCTTCCTCTGTGCTCTGCCGCCTTCTCTATGTGCTGTTACCTCTGTCCATGTGCCAGTGATTCTGTAGGACAGCATCCTGGCCTGGGGGCTGTAGGGTCATACACGCATTTTAAATTTTCATAATTGCTACTAAATTGCATTTCAAAGAGATGACACTAGTTTTTACTGCAACCTTGAGTGGGAGTTCTCATGCTCCACTTCTTGCCAACATTGCATATTGTCAGTTTTTAATCTTTACCAATCTGTTAGGAGGAAATGGTGTCTCATTCTGTTTTGTAAGCAGTTCTATGGAGGTGTCATTGTTGTACAACAAAGCGCACATATTTAAAGTGTACAGTTTTCGATCAGTTTGACAAATGTATATACCTGTGAGACCATCACCACAATCAAGATGCCGAACATATTCATCACCCCCCAAATTTCTTCATACTCTTTTGTAATCGCTCCCTCTTCAAACCTCCGTCCCCAGGTAACCACTGATCTGCTTTCTGTCACTAAATACTGGTTCTAGAATTTTATAAAGGGACTCATACAGTATGACTGTTTTTGCCTGCCTTCTTTCACTCAGAGTAATTATTGTGAGATTCGTCCATCTTGTTGGGTGTGTCTCTAGTTGGTTTCTTTTTATTGTAGAGGAATATTGCATTGTAGATATGGATAAGCCGTGTTTTGTTTGTTTATTCACCCATTGATGGGCATTTGGGTTGTTTCCAGTGTGGGAACAATAGTAGTTTTGTACAGATTGTAGATTTGTACTGGATCGTAGTCTTCGATTAGCTTTGAGCTCCATTATCTTATTCATCTCTGGGGGCCTAGGGGTACGGTACTATTTTCCACATTAGACAGATAAAGAAACTAAAGTCCAGAGACGTACCTAAGACCACACAGGTCAGAACGGGGCATTTCTTACGTGACACCACTCTGCACTCCCGTTTCTCGGTTCAGGCAGCACAGTGTAGGAAAGACAATTTTGTTCACTGATTCAGAGGACAGACTAGCATCTGACTCCCTGTGTTCAAACACCAGCTGGCTCAGGGACAAAGAGCAGCTTACCTCTCTGCTTGGCTTTCTTCGTCTATAAATCAGGCATGGTAAAAGAAGCCTCCCATGTAGGGTTATTTTGAGGATTAAATGGATGAATACTTGTAAGGTTTTAGTGTCTTCCAGTAAGAGGTACTTAGAAAGGATTGTCTACTGTTATTATTTGTTCATGAAGTAGTTTTTGAAACCTACTATGTTTCCCCTCACTGGGGCTGCATAACTGCATAACCCTTCACCCTCCAGGGTCAATCACGACTGCAGAGAGACTTCTAGAAAGATGGGTGGAGACTCTTTGTCCTTGTGGAGAGCAGGGATGTGGAATGAGGGATGCCAAGGACTGAGCATACCATCAGGAGGAAAGGGAGGTGAAGTCCCCTTGCTCAGGGTCTGGAGTGGGCATGGGGGAGGGCACTGTCCTTGGGTTTCAGGCCAGCTCTCGGTGACCCCAGCCACAGTGAGCCTGCTGAGGCCTCCTTTTAACCAAAACCAAAGAGCATTGCCTACAAAATGTGAGCTCCCCCTCCACCCATCCCAGGCTGTACCAGGATGACAGAGTTATAATTACCCGCGCCAGGAGCTATTATTAGAAGGCAAATGCAGCTTTAATTATTATCCTTAATAGAGGCTGAAAAATGGGAGGACCGAGTGGCTCCAGAACTCGTCCGGGCCGTGGCAGTTTTTCTTGATGCTGCTTCTTCGCTTGGCCCTCACACTCTGGAGGCGTCCTGAAGCAGTATTGGCACTATAACGTCTGTGGCAACTCCCACTTACTCAGGGGAGCTACAGGCATTTAGGGATCCTCCCCGATCAGACTTCTCCTTCCCCAGTACTGTGTTTTGACTGCTTGGTACTTCTGACCAGCTGCTGGGTGGGAGCCGGGAAGAGTTGCTGCCAAACTGTGGAGTACAGGTTCCCCAGGCAGCCTTGGTGACAGGGAGGAGGGTGTGAAGGCCGGTGCGATGCACTTGGCCTCTGTGGAGGAATGTTTAACATGTGTCTGGAAACTAATATTTCCTGAGCACCAGGAAAAATGATGGATGCTTCCCCACAGCAACATTTGTGGTAGTATTATTCCTATTTTACAGATGAGGAAATGACTTTCAGGGAGGGTGATTAATGTAAATGAGGTCACACAGTGTAAGTAAGAGCTAGCTCTCTGACTTTAAATTCCAAGCTCACTCCTTCCTTCCTTCCCTCCCTCCTTCCTCCCTCCTTCCTCCCTCTTTCCTTCCTTCCCTCCCTCCCTTCCTTCCTTCCTTCCTTCGAGCCTTTATTTTCCTTTTGATGAAATTTGTATGTTTTTCTCCTGTTAATGTCTTATCTATCAGTTGAATTCTTAGGCCCAGCCATAGAACCTAGGAGGGTAGAGAGAAATTATTCTCCTCTGCACTAGGCAAATCCTTTCTTTCTTTCTTTTTCTTTCTTGCTTGCTTGCTTCCTTCCTTCGTTCCTTCTTTCCTTCGTTCCTTCGTTCCTTCGTTCCTTCCTTCCTTCCTTCCTTCCTTCCTTCCTTCCTTCCTTCCTTCCTTCCTTCCCTCCCTCCTTCCTTCCTTCCTTTTGTGGCAGTGGAAGCCTTTGTTCAAGTGAAATCTCACCCATAACACCACAGATGGTAGCCATGCCACTTTGGTTGAAAGGGGCAGGGCTGCCAGCCTAAGCCCTGCTTCACTTGCTGTGGTGGCTTCTGAGGCTGTTGCGCCCCTTCCGGGGGACTCAGGACGAGGACTGGAGGGCCTCTGGGTAACCTGTAGGATTCTAGAGGCCTCAGCCGGGGTCTGCAGTGAAAACCCCAAGGCCTCTTTCCTGGTACCACATAATTGTCCCATCTCGGAGGGTCTGGCACAGAGCAGAGGGGGTGGCTCTGGTCGCAGGCCTGTGTCGATGCCTGGTGGCCTCCGGGTGGTGCTCCTCGTTTTCCACGTGCCTTTATCTTTCTTGTGTGGGCCTCTGCTCCCTGTAGAGCAGCAGCAAGGGGAAGCACTATTTTACAGGAACAGGATGAAAGCAGGCCTTGCTTAATGCCTCTCTGGCAGCCATGGCCAGGAGCCAAGGCCCACTGGTGAAGCAGAGGGGTGAACTGGCCACCCACGAGCAAAGCTGGGGTCATTTTTCCATCCTTTGCAGTGAGGGAGTAGGGAGGAGGGTGAAGAGGGGACAGACACTCAGCTTCCCTTTGGGCAGCTGGGCCTGAGTGAGGTCCCCTCACTTCTGGGGACTGCTGTAGACTGCTGAGGGCATGGCAGTGTGCTACGTGGCAGTTAGAGAAAACCAGCTGAGGAGGCTGCCCAGGCCCTAAACCACAGAGAAGCAATCTGTCAAGGCTGGCTGTGGGCAGGCTGTGGGCAGGCTGTGGGCAGGCTGTGGGCAGGCCTCCTGGGCTCCCGCCTCCCTCCAGGCCTGCCCCTCCACGCCGATAAGTGGCTTCTTTGAAATGGAAAAAAAAATTGTAATTACAAGTCCAAGCTGCTTCTCTATGACAGAGTCTCCTGTGTACTCAACTCTGTCTCATGGGAGGCGGGAGGAGGAAAGTGAAGGACGCCCCAGACTTGTGGTCACACACAGCCTTGGCGGAGACCTGGCCTGTCTCCCTAGTGAGCTGCTTCCATGCTCCTCTCTCCCCGCCACCCATTGTGGCCAGCTCTCCAACCATTCCCACCCCCACTGGAGCAGCAAAGCCCAGCTGAAGTGTGTCAGTGCACACTCAGCTACATCCCCAGTCTGAAAGCAGGAACTGAAAGCGGCCAGCCCCTCTCTAGTTCCGTGGTGGATCTTGCTTATTACAGCCCTCACACCCTACTCTTTGGCTGGTGCTTTACAATCAGGTGCCCGAGGAAACAGACCCACAAGAGGTTCAGCCAACTGTCCACAGGTTACACAGGTTCTTAGTGTCTGGTCTGCACCCTCTCAGACCTGGGCTCTCTCCAGTCTCCTCACTGTGTCTTCAAAAGATGAACTGTGACCCACAAAATGCCTTGGTGGAGGCTGGACCAGCCACTGTCCCTTCAAAGATGAATTTTCTGGGCTGTGACACTGTCATTTCTCTGGCTGTCAGGCCGCTGTTTCCTTTCCTTAGAATCAAAAGGCCTCCCAGAATCCTGGGACCTATATTAATGAATGACAAATAAAATACTATTAATGGTCGGTTCAGATGTAAAGACTGAGAAAGACGGAGAAATGTTTGTGATGCTCTACTACATGAAAAGGGAGAAGGCAGATTGCACTTAGGGTACAATTGAAACTGCCCCTTCCCGTCCCCAAAAGTCTTTACGTACAGGTAGTGTGGAAGAACGCGTTTTGATTGGATTGACGCTGGGTGATTTTTCCTCACTTTTGTTTATTTTTAAAAGTTTCTTTAATGAACATAACTAAAATAAACAGAAATGAGGGCATTCTTCCAGAGTCCTGGCCAAGGCCGCGGCACGGCACAGAGGGGTACGGTGTGGAGAAGTGAAATCCGACAGTGAAGTGTGAGAAACCTCCTTCCTCCTCCTTTCCCCAGAGACAGGCAGGTCATCGGAAAGCCAGGACCTCGTTCTCAGAGGCAGTTGCAGAGCATATACTTGCCAAGCTCTCCATTCCTTACATTCACAACCACCTGTGAATGAAATAGGTGCTGTTCTCTTTGTGCCTCTTTTGCAAATGAAGAGAAGCCAGGCGACCAGCCACAGTCAACAGCATGTGAGGGACAGAGCTCATTGCAGGACCTGCAGGACCACAGCAGCCAGGACCACAGCGGCCTCCCATCGCCTTTTTAATGGCCTACCTGTCCGTCCCCCATCCTTCTGCAGGGGTGGAGTTCGTGGTGCCCAGGACCGGGTTTTACTGCAAGCTGTGTGGGCTGTTCTACACCAGCGAGGAGATGGCGAAGATAAGCCACTGTCGCAGTGCTGTCCACTACAGGAACTTACAGGTACCCGTCGGCCTTCCTTGCCTAGCACCAGAGAAGTCCTCTAGTCTCTGTTTCTGCGATTCCTTCTCCTTCCACCACATGGAGAGTTCTTCTTCTTTCAGACCTGACTCCATCAGGCTGCTCCACGTGTTGGCTGCCTCCCATCTGCTCTCAGAGCATCTGTCCCCACTTTGGTACTTAAAACATGATATTGGGTTGGGTTTTCTGTATCTGCCTCTCCCGCTAGGCTGAATATAATTCAAGTTCACGTTCACCATGGTTGGGGCTGACCCTTTCCAAGACCTGGGTGTTCCAGATGCAGATACTTCTCTGTTTTTATGTTCCCCAGTACAGCGCTCCTGTTTGCTAGAATCAAGTCACTATTAGGCTCTAATTAAATATTCATCCATACTGCAACTCTTTATCACAGGCATACTATGTACCAGATAGTGTTCTAGACATTGGGGATACGACAACAAAAAATAAAAAATACAGACAAAACCCCTGCCCTCATGGAGTATCCATTCTAGTGTGGGAGATAAGCAATAGATAAATTAATTTTTATAATATATTAACAGGCGACAAATAAAAATACTCTATATACCGTATTTCATCCAATCTAAGGTGCCATAAGTTGTAAAACACACTATTTTTTGATACCAACAAGGAAAAAATGTGGCAAATTAAACGGTGAGACTCCACTAACTGTCAAACGCATCCCAGTTTCAGAGATGTTAATGTGTGAAGAAAGACATCTTAAAATCAATGAAATATAATAATATGATCCATGATGTACACCTAAGTAATATATAGCACATTAGAGTGTGGTTTTCATAATTAATTTCTGGTATAGGCTGGGATTTACTAACTTAATAGAAAGCACGGTATATCAGAAAGCATGGTAAGTGTCTTAAACCACCTCCTATTTTTATTACAAGGAATTAGAGTAGTTTTTTGACACATGAGGCCTCAGGAAGACCCTAGGGGTGGCAGTCCCCTAATTCCAGAGCAGGCATTACTGTTACAGTTAAATCGTTAGAGTGGCTCATCTAGTGGTTTTTAACCAGAGATGTGAACCAGAATCACCTGGACAGTGTTTTAAAAGTATATATACTAGGTCAGATATTCAGCACAATTTGGGGAGACCCAGGAATATTTAATTTGAGCAAGTTCCCTAAATGATTTGAAGTGTACCCCTAGTTAAGAAACTCAAATGCGGGCCAATTCTCTTATAATTGCGGCCCAGAGAAGCTCTGTGATCTGCCCAAGGCCATGCAGGTGGTGAGTTACAGGCCTGGAAACAGAGCACCTGATTCTTAATCATTTTCCTCTTTTTACTAAGCTGGTCTTGAAAACTGAGACCCATAATGTCATGGCCCGGGTCACCAGCTGCAAGGGACTGTCATTTGCAATTCCCAAACTCGGGTCACTTAAGTCTCTTGGTTTCCCTCCAGAGAGCAGCTGCTTCATGACCGAGGATGCCATGGGGTCTGGGGCCCAGGTCCCAACATCTCCTGAGGGAGAGCAGTGAAGGCCTGACTTGGCCAGACCGAGGGTTCAGACTAGGCTCCACGGAGCCAGCTGAGGGCGGCCACCTACCCTGAAGATATCATCCCCCAACGAGATGAAACCTGGAGAACGGCGGGGCTGGACGGGGTCTTGGAGATCATCTCGTCCTGATTTTCCTTGGTTCTCAGAACAGCTGGCATCTTTTATAAATGTGTCTTCCTGGACCTATCTTTTACCTGCTTATTCATTCTGTCTAGGGCTGGGCTTGAGAATCTGAATTTTAAAAATCCTTCCAGCACGTTCTGACCCCTCAGTGTGAGAACCTATGATTTCATTCAGCATTATCAGTTGGTCTGTGTAGACTCTAAGGGGATCGTGCAGCTCAAGGTCACCCAGGGAGTCAGGAAGAGTGCCGGAGCCTCTCATTTTAAATCTTGTGTTTTTACCAGAGCAGTGAGCTGCACTGTGCTCTGGGCTTCTGGGTCAGACCCCCAGGCAGACTCACCTCTCCCAGCCGGGCAGAGCCATTCCTGTGGTCTCCAGGCATGTGTGGTCCAGACGGTGGCTAAGCCCCTTACACCTGTCAACCTCAGTTCAGGTTTCCTTGTGCACCTGTTGGGAAGCTAGAGTTTCTGTCAGTGGCCTTGACAGAATGTCTGTCCACACAGCCGCGCCCACCCTGCCCTGCCCCAAGTTACATGTGTGAAAAGTGAAGAATTCGGATCCCAGCAGCAGGTGCTGGCAGACACTTAAGTCAAGCAACTTGTAAACTCAGCCCCAGCAGGAGGCCTTGAGGTGGGGGTTGGGGATTGCTCTTTGAGGCAGGGAGCAGGTGGAAGGAGCCTCCTGCATTCTCTCTGCACAGCCCCTGCTGTGCCCCACTGCTGGTCATAGCCCTGTGAGAAGCCACCCAGGGTGCTCAGGATTCAGTGCCAGAAAGGAAAAGTAGACACCTGCTGGGCTCCGGGTTTGGAGAGGAAAGTTCTCGTGCTCAGTACACTCACTCACTTGCCTTCCTGAGCACGCCCTTCCCTCCCTGGGCTGAGCCCGCCCTCTGCAGCCTGGCCCGCAGGGCTCCGGGGTCTGCCCTGTCCCCATCAGTCTCACCCATCCCTCAGAGCCCGCTGCAGCCGCAGCCGCATCCAGAGAGCAGGCAGACCCAGTCGTCTTACGTGCATCATGTCCTCTGACTCTCAGAATCACCCAGGAGGGGAAAGACGCCATTTCTTCCATTTAACAGATTAGCATCTGAGCCTGGGAGATGAGTGACTTCCCTGAAATTTGACCGCTCACGATAACGAGCGGTATTACAGAGTGTTTATTCCGTGCCAGCGCCATGACAAATGCTTCTTGGACATCAAGCTACCTTATGCGGTAGTTCCCATTATTACCCGCACTTTACAGGTGTCAGAGATATTGGGTGACTTGCCTGTTGAGAGCTGGGATGGGAACCCAGGTCATCTGACAATAGCGCCCACACACTTGACCACTTCGCTGGACCTAACTCTGCTGACTCCTAATTCAGTGCTCTTTGCGCTGTTCCTTGCTGCCCAGTAGCCAGAGGACCCAGCTGGGGCCCCAGGCGTTTTCTGGTTCTGCCACTGTGTTGAATCCGGACTCCCAGGAGCGGCCTGACATTTGGCCGGGGGCCAGTCTGAGCGGCAAGTGTCCTGGCGGAGTGAGGCAGTCCCAAATGTGGAACAGAAGTCCGCAGAAGGACCCCCAAGGCACTCCACCTGCCGGCCTGCCTCACCGGAAACAGGCTGTCAGGGGTCTGAAACATCAGGCTGCGGGTCTGTTCTTCGCACCCTTTACAGGGCAGCGTTTCTGTCCTCCCTCTTCCTTTACACGGTGGAAATGCAGCCTGGATCCTGGAGCTTTTTCTGGAAAACAAGTAGAGTCGTTGTGAGGATGAAATGAGTTTAGTTAAGAAAAGCAGATGGCGCTTGCACGGGATAAGGCCTGTGGAAGGGTTTGCTACTGTTAGGGCCCGTACTTCCTAGGTTTGCTACGGGAGACGGGAGGCGTGTGTTGCTTATAAACGAACATAAAGGGAGAACAAGTAAATGCATTGCTTGTTGTGGGTCCTAGAGCTCCAGAAGGAGCTGGGGAGGCAGGTGAGGGGGTCTCACCTAATAGGCTAGATGATGGGGGGGCACACCCCTTTCTCTCCTCTCCCGCCAGGTCACCACTGACCCTCTCCCTTCCTCCTTTGTCCCTGTCTTCCCACCACAGAAGTACTTGTCCCAGCTGGCCGAGGAGGGCCTGAAGGAGACGGAGGGGCCAGGCAGCCCGAGGCCTGAGGACAGTGGAATCGTACCCCACTTTGAAAAGAAGCTCTGACACCCCTGGCACCGCGGGAGCAGGGAGAGCAGGCCCTGCGAGGTGGGGCCTCCCTGACCTCCAGGACAGGAACTGAAGCCAGAGAGGGAGGAAAGCCAGGCAGGCCACGTTGCCTGGATTTGTTCTCAGAGACTCATGAAAACGCCCCTGAAGTGTCTCCCAGAGCCGTCGCCCTGGTGTGTCTAGCCCACCGCGGGCCACCCACTCTGTCCCTTGTGACTCTT